AACTGTAATGAACATTCACACGAAATAGAAACGATGAGCTAGTAAAGCTTTTATTTATGACATTTAAATTGAACAGTGGTGGCAAAATTGTTTCTTTTTTAACATCACACAGTTAACATGAAGAAGAGTTGAAAAGGCAAAAAAAAGATATTCAACTTTTATTTGTTATCAGTTTTACAAGTGGATAAAATTTCACAAAGTTGTTTTATTGCTGTTTGTGTATGGTTCTGTGATTCCAAAGAGTTTAACAGAGAAACCGGTAAAATATATTTCTGTATACAGTAGATTATTGGCGGCTTTCCTGATTATATTGTATATAGAATGTTGCATTAAATATCCTTTTTGACAAATCAAAGCGCTTAATTTAAAAAGTGTACATGCATTTGATAATCACTTCGTTTTTTCCATTCTTTGTATCCCGAGTAGAAAATAGGACTTCGAGCCTTAAAGTTTCTATAGCAATGGTGTGGATTTTAAGAGGTGCTGTTTCTGGCCTTACCTCCGACTTTCTCTCTTTCCATGGCCTACTACAGGATAGTACAATGCACAAGGCTTAAAATCTCCTGTATGGTTAGCTAATATTTTTTCATTGAATCACTGACTCACAATTACTTCATTTAAATTATTCTAATAACTTTCTTTTCTCCAAACGCCAACACTGAATTAATAGTAATAGAAGATAAAATAAAGATAACAAATGATGTCACTTCTTTTATACAACTGAAATTTCTCAAGTGTTGGTTCGCAGGGATGTGATTTGATTGGTCACATGATTTCATCATAAGCTGACATCGGTTAGAGAACCATTGGAAAATCTGCAGGGAGTACTGGACAGTTGTTTCGTCCTAGTTTGAGACTCTTCAGTAGTATGCATCCCAGGGGTCAAACCCAGGACCTTTCGGTTACAAGGCGACCTTATAGACCATTAGGCCACTGGGACCCAGTTCAATGTCTCATGAATTCCAGCTTATGCCAATTCACGATATAGCACTACCCCTAGCCGGTGTTATCCGTGGCGAGTTTCTGTCTTCACACCCGACCTACTTTACCCCACTGGTCACGAATTCCCGCTAGAACCCCACGTAACTACATACCTGAATAATGCCAGGAGCTGTTCAGTACTCACCGGTTTTCCAGTGGTTCTCCAACCGACGTCGGCTGTGATGAAGTCCTGAAATTTCTTTGTTATAATATCAGTTTATTAGTAACTGCCAGCCATTTTAGGAATAGATCCTACAATTCATGAACTGATCAGCTCGTGTATATCATAATAATAAAACCCATTTTCAGTGGTGAAACATAAGTTTAAAGGTTGGTGAAATACAAAAATTTAACCGAACGATAACAGCTTTAAATTCAGATGAATGAAAACCAGATAAGACAGCATGTTTCACAGACAACATGTCATTCATATTTTTTTTATTTATCGTGACATTTAGTCGTTTTCACTTGTGTACGTGAAACGAAACCGTCTACGAATGTCTGATGTTTTGGCTTAACTTTGTACCTATCAAAAGAAAAAAATGGGAATACGGTTATATGCAGTTTGAACAGACATTTTATTTCTAAACAATATTTAATTTTTACTATTATTGTTATATGGTATCAATCAGTTAGATTATTCAAAGTCTTATTGTTAGTTTCTAGTTGTCTTTAATCTGTAATAGTAGAAGGCATTTAACTAGTTCTCTTTCAGGCTTTTTTCTCATTACAATATGTAAGAGCAAATAAACAAGCAGGCAGTGTATTCTTTGCGTAAATGAAATAGCGTTTTTATTCGAAATATAAAATAAACAAGCCAGTAAGGGTGTCCACCTGTACATGTGAATTACTGAACACATTCGACCCTATCTTGAATAAAATTCCAATATTGTGTAAAGTGAATAATTAATTAATTAATTAGGTTTACATAGATTGCCGAACATCTCCATATATATATTAAAATCGATGACACTAGGTAACCAATCAGATGTGTGCGCCCGAAATCAACCAATAGTAATTTAAAGACAACTGAAATGCTGAAGTATTTAAATACCTAGAGTTAAATGAGAAACAATACTCAGGGTTAGCTGTTTCATATTTGGTGAGTGAGATTTAAAGTAACTGTTTAGTTATTTGGTAATATAATTTATCTTGTACTGGTTTACAAATTGTGTCTTTATTTACGGAAATCAGTATCGATTGAGATGACTGGTACATCTGTTACGCATGTTAGCTGACAAAATGATTAAGTTGGAAAAGAGCTAGGGGTGGTCAAAAAAACCTGATATCAGTCCATAAAATCTTTGACTGTTGGTTTAAACCATCCACGTAGGCAGGGATAGACTACCTGATTAGGGTCTCTGAGATGTTATAAACCAATATCTGGAGATTTTCGGTGATATAGCTCAAAATCTTTCTCAACAGGGTAAATATGTATTCACTCTTTATAAACCCCATGATCCAGTAGATTTTGGTTATTCTTGATGTAATTATTCCTTTTGCTGTATATTTCTGTTTGCTATGATTCCTTTGGATTTCTTTCGCTACGCATGTACATACTTAAATATGACTAAACGCAAGTAATCTGTTCTCTCTTTGTGACATCAAACCTGTGTGTCGGTGGCACAGTGGTAGAGTGCTCGCCGACCACGCAGGTGGTTCGGGGTTTGATCCCCGGCCGACGCACTCCTTTACCTCGCTAAGCCAGTAGTAAGACTGGTAGAGGAAAGGTTGTTCATGAGGCTAGAAACCCCATCTTGTAGAAATAATCACTCCAGCAACCGAAACTTCAAGCCTTAAGCTTGAAGCCATATGTTTCACTGGGAACGTAAAGGAAAAACAAAGAAAGTGTCTTCAGAGTTCATGTGTGATCTTAGAAGATTCATAGTATATTCAATGAATTGCATAGCTACTGACACATTGAATTCCTAAAATGGAACATAATTAACTTCAGTGTTTTAAAGATAGCTAGCTTACTGATGATTGCATATCAGAACGAAGTCGGGGTTCAAAATACTCCTAATATGAAAACAAACAGAACCATACTGTCATGTCACTTAGTTTGAGTGTCACACGAAAAAACACGCAGTCGACACGTCACAGTTTCCAATAAAAGCAATAGCAGTTACATAATTTGCTATTTATTATCCTATCTGTAAGTCAACTTTGCATAATACAAACACTTGCTACATTTATGCAATGTACAGCATTAATTAGTGTGCATGACATCTGCTATTGAAGCACATAACATCTTACAAACTCTTTAGCAATTTATAATTTTGCTGTGGTGTCATACAGTCTAGTGGTCATATTACGCAATTCAATTACCGTATTACCTGGAATCAACTGGCACATTTATTTAAATTAAACGCTGACTTGTAACGCTCTAAAATTGAATTCATTCAATGACATAACTGCACTTACTTAAATAAAAAACAACTAGTTATTCAGTTTTGTTTAGACCAATAAGTGGTAAAATACTGTGTCATTTATTAAGCACACTGATGTGTATCTTTTATGGGAAAGCCGTTTTTACTCAAACAGTGCCTAGATTTATTCAGAAAGTTTGTTTATCAAATCAGATCAAATTTATCTTACCGAAATAGCGGTAATGTTAACCACTCGTAGAATTTAGGGTCTAGAGGGATATTAATGCGTAACTCACAGTAATTTAGAAAGAACATCTTTGTCAGACAGTGGTAAAGAGGTTACCCTTAAAAATATTTTTTTCTTGTGACAGGGGAGGAGAAGCATTATTACAGCCAAATAATTCGTCTGTAGTCATTTTGGGTAATATACTGTCTACATTAAAAGGATTTAAGCACAAATAAACGTAACAATGGGTTAAACACACTACTGTCTTAAATTTCATATGGAAATACTCTCAATTGTGTTTGTCCGCAGGGGAAAATAAAACGTGTGCTCAGTTTTTCCTTACTTAGACAATTATCTTTTGCGTTATACCTGGAAATAAATTGGAAATGTTGATTAGTATTCAAACATATGATGAAGATAACAACTTTTTTCCTTCACGTTCCCAGTGGAACATAGGGCTTCAAGATAGTGGCTTGAAGTTTCTCTAGCAGTGCTTATTTTACAGGATGGGGTTGCTAGCCTCATGCCCAACCTTTCCTCTTCACCAGCATTATTTCTGGCTTAGCGAGGTAAAGGAGTGCGTCCGGTGGCTGGGGATCGAACCCCGGACAATGTGCATAGTGGGCGAGCATCCTAACCGCTGTGCCACCGACGCAAGATAACTAGTCATATTCCATAAAAGACATTTGAACTAAGTTTTCTTTTTTTGTCGGCATGGACATACTTACTTATCGTTCGAGTCGGTTCTACTTTTTAGTGTCTCACCATTTTGATATTGTGTTTAAATGTTAAGCGGAAGTAAACTGGATTCTCCCACACAGAGGCACCAATGAACCCAAATGGTGACGACCAATTTTAACATAACAAGTATTATTATTATTATAATCGTTCATTTCTTGCGTACCATGTGTAACTTATTGTTTCCGACAGACTGTCGGGTTTGCTTCTTGAGGGCTTCCACCTACCAGAGTCATTTGTCCATGACTTGAGGAGTGTTTTTGATTCTAGCAGTGAACAAGTTTATTTCTTCTGTGTTTTGAATTTTCCATAGTGATACGATTTCTAGTCCCACAGCCAGCCTTCTTTCTTTTATGGCTTAGTAAACTCGGCGAGGTTAACATCATCAGACTGGGGAACATACATATATGGCATACAACACTGTTCGAACTTTGCACACAACCCTAAGGTGATACACCATCCCATCACCCTCGGCAGATTTGGTGACATGAAGTTACGGAAGCATCATCAGAGCATCTGATAGGCTAGGTGCTTCTAACAGGCATTACCTGCATGAAATCGTTTCTAGACTAATCTATGGAATGAACACTTAACACTTCCTTGTATAAGAAAGTTCATTTAATTAGAATTAATTTCAACTACCTTAATCTTGTTTACATTTATACATATAGTTTGAATAATAAATAATGGCAAAGGTTGGCAATGGTGTCCAAATTCCGCTTTCATGGGTTCATGAACATGGTGGTGCATTCCCAAAAAATTCAATTAAAGCAGATGAAGGAGTATATGTGGCTCGTTGTCGTATAAATGATGATCTGCTGGTTGGCAAATTTGTTTCTACCTATGGTAAAGCCTATTGTCCACATGAAGGCAAAGAGTTAGAGTTCACTGATTATGAACTTCTATGTGATTCTGGTATTCCTGGATGTCGTGAAGGGTAAATTTATTTGTCAAATTTTTTTCACCTTAATATAAATGATTATTTTATCTATATCTTGATTGTATTTATTTGGGGAGAAATATATTTGTAGCTCAGGCAAAGAATTGATCGCAAGCAATATTTGCAATATTCCAACCTGAAACCAATCTGGAAATCTTCGTCACTCAGCCTGCATCAACAACAAAATTCGGATTTTCAATACAAACGTCAAGTCAGTTCTTATATACGGATCAGAAACCTGGCCAGTGTGTCACAAAGAATATTTCCAACAGCCTGTTGCAGACCTTTATCAACAGCTGTCTTCACTGGCTCTATACTGAAGATCAGATGGCCGGAAAGAATCACCAACAAGAAACTATGGGAACAAACAAAACAAGAACCAATCGCTAAACAAATATGCAGTAGAAAAAAGTGGAGATGGATTGGACACTCGCTGAGCTGAGGAGGCCGCTGGGTGACATCGCACGTCAGGCTAGTGCTCGAGTGGAACCCGAAAGGGAAGCGGCGAGTGGGACGTCGAAGGGTGACATGGAGGAGATCGTGTGAAGAGGAGTTGAAACAGTATGGACTAACATGGCTGCAGGTGAAAAGTACAGCAGAAGACAGAAGCAAGTGGAGATGTGTGGTTGAAGCCCTATGTTCCACTAGGGACCCATGGGGACAATAATAATAATAATATTTGCAAATACAGTCATTTGACGAAGGTGTGTTTCTACTACTGCCACTCATCATAATAACAATTTAACTGCTATGCTGCCCCTTTTTACACTGCAGTTCAGAAAAAGCTGCGAACACTGTTTTTTTTTGCAAGTCTTAGTATATCGTATTAGACATAAGGCATGTATTGGAATGATTCAGATGAAAACGAACACCTTTTATTCATGAAACATTTCTCTCCAGAGGAGGATAATTGGTGTAAGCTAAGCGATTCATCCGTTGATATGGTGCTAATTTCGCTATTATTATTTCCTTGGGTTCCATGTGGAACATAGGGCTTCAACAACACATCTCCACTTTGTTCTATTTTCTGCCGTCCTCTTCAACTGGGTCCACGATTGCCCATAATCTCTTATCTCCTCTTCGGACTATAGTTATCAATATTTTCGCTTATATTGCATATGAACGAATAACACTTGACTGTTTATTTCTCTTAGGACTATTCATTCCTACCCTTAACAAAACGTTCTTAGTACGGAATACTGACAAAATAAGTCATATTACTAACCGTTTAAATATATTTAACTTTGGACTAAGTGGAATTCGGACGTATTTTTTAAAAATTAATCTGGTCACCTATGCAATATACCTAAAATTGTCAACTGTCAAAATTGGGTTTTTAAAGTCTAAGGTTTAGAAGATGAGAAAAACATTAACGCGATTGCAATTTCATAAATGGATATTTATGTATTTTTGTTTTTCTTGGGAAAACTTAAAAGAATGATTGAAAGCTTATGAGTATGTTTTGTTCAGGTTACTCAAAATCTGTTATCAGTAAGGAAAATAATATAATAAGCCATGATAGTGTGTTCATAATAATCAAAAAGTACTGAAGACCAGTTCTGAGTCTCCCGGTTTGTTCTTACATTATTTGAATTCTGTATTTATCAATGGATGGTGAAGATGCTCTGTGACATAACTTGAAATCATTTACATCGGTGTAGATGTTCTACCTTCCTTTCTATCCCTTCAAAAACGCCAGACTACTAACTTCTCCTTTAGACATAAAAGTGATCTACAACTACTGGTTAATCCACACAATCTGAAATCACTCAACCTCTGCTTTTACAATTTGTTAATTCGTGTATCTTACCTATTGTACTTTACTGCTTCCGCTTAGTCACTCCTGGTCTACCGAAAAAGGACTATGTTACTTTGAGAAGGGTATTAAAGGTTGTCAGTAGGGCACGTTGTGTGAAACATAGTCAGCTTATAACTACGTTAGTTGATAGACATCTAAACTGATGCAAGAAATGGTATAAATCTATATTTTCTGACCCTCAGCACTCCCTCCATTCTCAACTCTCCCCTTGCTGTATCTCATCTGGTAGGCCTAGCAGTCAGTACAAAAGATTATATGCTCGTACTACCAAGTATAGAAACTCAAGGATGCCATATTTGGCCAGTGTTCTGTGTGATAGTGACAATGTAAAGCCTGAAACTTATGAATGACTGTGTTGCTAGCTAAATGATTGGCCCTTTTATTATCTCCTATTTGTAATCTCTGGTGACACTACCTCAATCAACTGAAAATCTCAGCTACTGACCTTATTACTACTATTATTATTTACACCTTTTTTATATGTATACATTTGACTTCATTGTCACTACAAATCCCATGTAAGAACCGGCATTATCAATCCCGTAATATTATTCCTAAAATTGTTTTTAGTGTTGTTTGATATAATTGACTGATAACCTCAACTACAAACATTATTATTATCATTATTTTACAATATACTTTTTTGCTTATCATCTTCATAACAATACTAATACCAAATAAGAACTGTTATTAGCAATCGTGTAATACTACGTTTATAAATGTTTTTATCATTATTCCATAAAATTAGATGCAATAATGTAGCAAATGTTGAAAATCCCACACTGTAATATTTGTACTATCCTGGAATTTAAGTACATTACTATTATCCTTATTATTATTATTAGTAATACTTCCATATTCAGAAAATACTCACCAATATTCATCTAATTAGCATCTCTTCAGTTAATTTTCTCCTATTGTACTTTCATTAAACACTTATTTTCTTTACTTTTATGTCTTGTCTACTGAAGGCAGTCATTGTGTTAATTGAAATCACTTAGTTATTCATAAATAAACAGCTTTATTTGTGGGACAGTTACTGTTCATTTCTTACCAGCGAGTGGAAAGTAGGTCTTCAGTGATATGTCTACATCGTACTTAGTTCTCTACTATCTTTATCAGTTGCCGCCATGATTGCCTATTGACTCAAATTTCCTTCTCACATTATCTTCTTCATGTTACCCTCGGATGTCAGTCTTGTCCTTTCCCGTTCAAATTAATATTCTTCACATCATAACAAATGATTTCTTGAGAAGTTTTAAAATAATATAAAATTTCCTTCTATTGTGTAAGGAACAATTTATCGTCATACAATCATCCCATGCTAGTGAATATGTGGTGAGTGCTACTTATAATCCGATATAAGTAGTATACCAGAAGTTACAATAAACGGATATCGTATTTTCCCTGCTCCAATCTCTACAACGCAGTCTGAAACGCCGAGAATGTGCAAAGGATGTCCTCCTACCGTCTGAACTGCTAATGTGCACGGCCTTATTTCCTTACACTTTTCTCTATCTATCAACGAAACTGCGGCCCCTGTGTCGATCAAACAAACTAGTTCTTTTTGGTTAACCCGTAATCTCCCGTACACTGAACCTCTTTCGACTAATCCGACCACCTCCAAACGCGAGCGAGAAAAAGAAGAAAGACTGTGACGTTTAAAGTTTTTATGCCTTCGTTTCGGGCAGTTTCTCTGCCAGTGACCGGTTCCTCCGCAAGCAAAACATCTGCTGTTTTGTCTTTTCCTTATCTGCATAGCCGCCACCTGTAGTTTCAACTCTTCAATCTGGTCTTCCATCTTTTTGGAATCTTGGCACTCCATCATCACTGGAGCAACATGCGAATTCACTATCTGCCTTGTTACCTTTGCCATTTCATAGACACCCATTGGTTGAGCTGCGTTAACTAGCTGCAATTGATGAGCGATATTTGTCGGGACACATTCGAGGAACTGAGATGCGAGCAACTCCTCCCGTGGATCTTCGTCCAGGGTGGGTAACGCGCGTCACAGACTATTCGTCAACGTTACTGCGAGAACCAACGGATTCCCATTCTGGCCAAGTCTCAGCGTCCGGAACTTCTGCGACGCCTCTTGTCTGTCCGCAGGGCTGCCGAACTCTCACACGAGACTCTCGACGACCTTGTCCCACGCCGCCTCACCTGCCAGCTCCCGAGCGTTGTCGTACGCAGCCTTCGCGCGGCCACTCACCGGAGTTCCCAAGACAACCAGCTTCGCCTTCTGCTCCTGCACTCCAACCAGCTCCGTGACAGCTTCGAAATCCCTGAGGAACGTCCGCAAATCTCCCTCCTCGAAAACCTGTGGCCACGGCACCTTCATCTCCGGCAGAAGCAGCGACACCAAATGTTAAGAAGAAAAGACCGAGGAGGCTAGAAGGAATGTTATTTAGTGAAACGTATTGTACATAGGTAAATTTGGTTTACCATATTTTCAAACCGCCATTTGCCCATCATTTACCACATCCTTGACGAATTGGTCGAATATCGTCACATTCGATAGCTTCTTGGATTCTGCATCATATGGAAACATTCTCCTCATAGTTCTCTTCTTTGATTGCTCTTTCCAATGTGCAAAACATATTGTTACTTTTCTGAATTCGCTTTCTGACATACTACTTATATCGGATTATAAGTAGCACTCACCACAAATATACTACCTAAACAGTAAACACTACAAGGTGAATTTTTTGGGTTAAACTTTAATCTATATAACATCGATAGAACTATTCAACAGTTTTCTGCATAGTTTCTTCTGTGCACTAAAATCGCCTGTCATCATCATCATCTTAACTGCTGAATAATTATTACCAACAAATCAAGGTTTAAGAATGCGTCGGCTAGGAAACGAATTCGGACAGTTGGACTGCACAGTTGGCGAGCAGTCTACTATCGAACTGCCAAGGCACATAATATTGAGTCATATAATGTGTGTCAAAAGTATTTTTTTTTGTAATAAAGCTATGTTATTTTATAAGTATTTTAGTGTTTGTGATTAAGCTGAGACATCATTCTGACTGAAAATCAGTTAGGTAAACAATACTGATACATTTTATTTTTTCAGAGTTAAACACTTTAAATGCCAGTGAAAAATCACATGAATAAATTTATAAAATTATATTTGTAAAATCTCAGCGAAATTGAAATGATTAATTCCAACGTTTCGTTCGGCAATCTGGTCCGAACTTCTTCAGGGAAATTAATCGAAATTAACATAACAGAGGTTTTATGTATAAAAGGAACAACTCTTGTTTTTAAACCTTGTCCAATCATGAGCCATGCAACAGGCATCAACATGTATAATAAATAAATAAATAAAATTGCATGTTTATGCATAAAAGTACATCTTTTGTTTTAAATTGTTTGTCCTGTCATATGAATCAAGAAACAGCTATCAATAGGTATAAAATAAACAAAACAGAACAAAAATTTTTCATGAACTGTGGTCAAAATTAGTCTACTTTTGTTAAAATATATATATGTGTATATGCAGATACAATGGTGTGTGTGTGGATGAACAGTCATAAAACATTTGTTATTCTCATGTGAGCTGTGATCAAGATTTGACCGGATAGTTGCAAAATAATTGAGATTTTTTACAAATATAATATAATTTTATAAATTTGTTATTCTCTCCATAAGAACACGTAGACAATCGGGAATTTGACCAAGTGTGACTAGTTGTTGAAACATATCCAATTTATTTATTAGTCAGGATTTGCCATGCATCAGCTAAGATCACACCTTCACGCCTGTTCAAACTGTTGGGATTCACCCATATATGTAGGGCTTCTGCAGTCAGTCTTTCTTTATATCAACCAAAAGCTTTCTGTAAAACCTTAGTCTTATCAAAGTCGATTTTGTGTCCCGTTTCTATCGAATGCAGTGCAATCACTGTGTTGTTTTCTAGCTTCTTCAAGTCTGCAGAGGTCTTTGGAACCACCTTTAGACATTGTTTATACTCTTTCACTCTTATATTTACCTGTCTGGAAGTTTCTCCTACATATACGGCGTTATAATCCCCACAATTGATCTGGTATACGCAATTCTGCTGGTTTTATTGCTCTATTTCATCGTTAACCTTCACCAGTAATGAGTGTAAGGTGTTTGATGCACGAAAATACATTCTTATGTTTTGGTCGTTAAGGATTCGCTTTATTTCATCGGATGTTTCTTTGCCGTAAGGAATCACCGCTGTACTAACCCAACTCTTGGCATCAGGTTTCGATTCATCCTCGTCTTCATATTTCAAATATCTCTATATAAATGCTTTAGGATAATTATTTGATTCAAGAGTGGATTGAACCAATTTTAATTCCTTGCTAATATCTTCTTCCTCAGTAACTAGACGTTTGGTTCTGTTGATCAGATTCTTGGCCACAGTTACTTTGGTGGTAAATGGGTAAGCTGAATAGTAATCTAGGTATCTATCCGAATTTGTCAGCTTTCTCAAAATGCTTTTTTTCAATTTGTCATCTAATTTTCTTTTTACTAAACAGTCCAGGAACGCCAACTCATTCTCATCAGATTCAACCTCTTTGGAAAACTTGATAGTTTCTGACATATTGTTTATTAAGTGAAAATGTTCATTTAACAAACTACGTTTGATTATGATGAAGGTATCACATGAACAAAATGTTTATTTTTGTAATACACTTTTTAATCTTTTCTTAGGTATGAATGGATAATGATGAATGGAGGTGGTGTACCAGACATGGCAGTGGTTGGTGCAATAGACAAATATGGTACACCATTGTACATCGTAAGAGGAAGAATTCAAGGTGAAACATGTGTTGGCAAGGTAAGTTCACTTCATACAGTAATGCGAAGTTTCAAATACTTGAGATATAACAAGCCCTTAATAATACTTTTGTTTCAGTGATATTAAATAGAGATTACATTAGCGGTTTTTATTCACACAGACACATTTTCTTTTATACTGATGAAGAAAAAATTATTATTGTTTCCTTTAATTCCTAGAGGAACATAGGGCTTCGGCCGCACGTCTCCATTGCGTTCGGTTCCCCGCTGACGTTTTCACCTCTTCTCCTCCATGTCACCCTGGCAGTGACGACCAACTCGCCGCTTCCCATTAGGATTACACTTGAGCAATGGCCTGACGTGTGATGTCACTCCATGGTTTGTTTTCTCAGAGTATGGCCAATCCACCTCCATTTCTTCGTGCATATTTTTTGCACAATCGGTTCCTGCTGGGTTGGATCGCTCCCAAAGATCCCTCACTACTGCTGATCTTTTCTGGCTGGCCATCTGATCTTGAGTACTGAGCGAAGATAGCTGTTATTGAAAGTCTGTAGTTTGTTCGAAGTGGCCTTCGTGACGCGCCAAGTCTCTGATCTGTATAGTAGCACTGACTTCACATTGCAGTTGAGAATTCGGATCTTATTTTTCATGCTGAATGCTGTTGACCTCCACACAGATTTGAGAGAAGATGAAGAAAAAATGAACTAACTAACTATTAACTGATTGGCCTGTTTCTTATATTCACTATTTCGTCTCGTTTTCTCTTGACTACAGAGGTTTTTCCTTTGTTCTGAATTAATATTTTTATTTTTAAGTGGTTTCCATTTTGTTTGGATTAGCACACACAGGCGCTCTATGGACTTACCTCGGCGTGAATTCTCTTTCTTGACTTCCTTAGGGATTCTCAAGTTTTATTCTACATCTGTAGCTGTTTACGTAGTAGGAGTTTGTTTTACCTGTTTCCTCTTAATTACCGTTCTGCTCTCTTACCAGAGTTCAGCATTACACAGGAGCTTTCAACACATATTTCCAAGCACATTTATCTGTTTTTCAATCAACTGCCTTCTTTTTTGATTGCTATATTGCTTGTTACTTTACAATTGCTCTGTTGTGGTCAAAACTACACTCACATTCATCGATTGTTAGTAGGATGAAGGATTTCATGGCTTCAATTTTTCTTGCTGCCCATTGTCCATGTTTGGTTTGTGTTGCAAGGTGATGTAATTGATTTATACAGAGTCTATTAAAAATACAGTTGATTTTATAGATTACATGTTTATTTCCTTCTTCTAATAGTCGTTTGATCTCTGTCTTGTTCATAACAGCCTGAATCATTTCCTGAAAATGTTTGAATTTATGAGAGAATATTCCCTTGCCTATCAGATATACAGTGGACCGATATCTTAGCTTAGGATAAATTCACTGTGACTCACAAAGAAACAACTACGATTTACTTATATGATTGTTCAAATAATTTTCGCTTAAGTTTCACAATTTATAGGGAATTATTAAGTCGCATATTTTCCTTCCGGTTTTTATAATTAAGACTAGTAATCATTCGCGTTCTCATTGATGAATGTAAACTGGTAAATGAAATCCCCCAACTAATCAAACAAAATCTCTACGAAAACCAATACTTGAAAATTGATCTGATGCTCACTGGCAACTGGCCCTATTCAGGTAGCTTCCTGGAGTTCTAGTGGGAAGCCGCGACCAGTAGGGTACTGCAGGTCGAAGGTGAGGACAGTTACTTATCGAAGACATTGGCTAGGGGTCGCGCTATGTCATGAATTGGCAGAAGTTGGAATTCATGGGCCATTGGATTGGATCCCAGTGGCTTAATGGTCTATGACCTCTCCTTGTAACTAGAAGGCCCTGGGTTTGAACCCAGTGGGTGTGTACTGCTAAAGAGTCCCAAACTAGGACAAAGCTGTTGTTATAACATCAGAGTGATAGAAAGTTATGCTTCCAAAGGAAGCCTGACAACAAATTAAAACAGTTTTAAGATAAAAATGTTTTTCACTGGCCCAAGTGGTCAAGTGGATAGTGCCTTTTGTGCAACAGTGGTTTTCGCGGATTGCCTAAGGTTCGATCCCCGGCCGATACACTCCTAAGCCTCACTAGGCTTCTAATAGGGTAGGTGAAGAGGGAAGGTTAGGCATGAGGCAAGCAACCCCAGTCCTTAAAAATAAACACCACTGCTACCGAAACTTCAAAGTTATAACCTGAAGCCCTATGTCCCACTAGGAACGTAAAGGAATAAATTAGCAATAATAGTTTTCATTGAGTCTATATCTGAAATTTTTCACTATACTTGAATAATACTAATCCTGTTTCCTTTGCCTAATGTATTTAGTTACTTCAGGGCGAAGGAAGTGCATGCTTTGCATGGGGTGGTGATGAGCATAAAAATCCAGAATATGATGTACTTGTTTTGAGAAATTGAGATACATCTACCATTTCTTTGAAGACAAGAAATGAAAAAAACTTCATTTCAATATTTTATAATTTTTAAAAAAAATATATTAAAAAAGATTTAAATTGAAAACATGACAAGCTAATTCATAATTTGTCGGTAATATATATTCATTTGAATGGTTGGATATCATGATAATATTGTACTTTTGTTTAAAATATACGTCATAAGATCTGGTGAATAAAGAATAAAGGATTATTTAGTAAACAAACCATTGGATTTGTGTTTATTAATTTGTTCCTATTTTTTTGAATGTGATTAAAAGATTGCTGTCTGTTGTCTTTAAATCAGTGAGTATTACTTTTTCTTTTTCTCACATGAACTTTATTTTTTAGTATGAAGTGTGGTCATGAATTTAAGGACATGCTCACTTTTCTTTTTTTTGGGGTGGGGTGTTTGTCTTCTTGAACCATATCTAATCCATGACGGATTTGCTTACTTTGTGTGCTAAATATAAGCATTTTAAGTCTCAGGTGAGTTTTACCAATGCTCATATTAATGGGAATATAAAAAATTAATAAGATTTCAACTCTTAAGACGATATTACAAGAAATAAAGACACTAAGAACACTTAAAGCGATTAAATAAAACCGCAATGTTTAACACAGTGTATAATTAAATTAGAGGAAAGTATAAAAATGAGGGATTAGCTGAAAAATCTGTCATATGTTTTCGGGTCATACGCCAGTTAACTCTACAATGTTGTTAAAGTGTGAAGGCTTATTAGATTAATTCATTTATAAAGCAGCCGAAGATCTATTTGTTTCATTAAATAATAAGAAGCAGTTTCAAGAGTAAAATCTTTAGTTTAATAAAGAGTCTAGTGCACAGACTAAATCAGATTAAGTGTTTATTTAGCCCTACATTTGATCACAAACGTGCGTACATAAATTAGAAAATCAAATGAAAACCAAATGATAATGATTAAGGCGTTTTATTATATTTGAACAAAGCAACAACTACAGTTTTAGCGGAATAAAATGGTACCATCTTTTATTTCGTCGCCTTCTCGTCAGCTGCTTACAGGGCAAAGACATTATTAAATATATCTACAAAAACAATTTAACATACTTCCACAGAGTTCATTTTAAACAAAAATCAATCGATCAATATATGCATACACTAATAATATATACATATATATGCAATATTAAACACAATTCCGAACAATAATAATCATATACAATGAAAACCTTTCAGTATCTCGCATTCGGATGAAAAATATCCAGTTACCAGGGCAAAGAAAGACTGATAACCGCTTCTTTCTGAACGCACAAATCAGGTTTTAGGCGCTTGATGGAAATGGCTTCAGCAAACTTAAGGAGAATTGAGCTCTTTTGCTTATTGATAATTTTGAACGACTTTTCGAAGTCCACCTCATGACCCATGTCAAGAAGATGCCTGGCGTTTTATTGTAGTCCAGGAGTTTTGAGTACCGCTTATCCATAACTTCACAGGACACTAACCAAAGGACTAGCGGCTTACGCTGCAAGAAAGTTACGAACATACTTTCTTTTAGAATATCAGCGGCCAATATTTTTGATTGTTAGTGATTGTCAGTACAATGCTACTGCTAGCTATGGTGCTTTTCCTGGTTCCGAAATGAATCGTGTGTGCGTAGCAGGAGAAGGCAAACACCGATACAACAGCCGGCAAGGGTTCTATCATTGATAACAGTCGTTTCAAGTCAGGAGTAAACATGCCGTTGCATTTATAAATGAATACGAAGAACATACGAACTTCAGTTGTTTGTGAAGGGTATTGAAGGTGACGTCTGATTTGACGTTAAGGCGCTTGAAGATAAAATCTCTTGATTTCGAAGCAACGAAACTATATATAATCCCACTGGTATAGTACTTGACTGTATTATTACCATTGGTGCTTCCTTGTGTTCCGAGTAGAATGTAGGTCCTCAACAGCACATCAGTACTGCATCCTATTTCCTACTGTCCTCCTTAGCTGGCTACACAAGTGACAACAAACTCTCATATCCTGCAAACATGATCACCTTCATATCACCTCCGACTCATCATTTGCCATTCAGGCTTCACTGAAGGGCCTGGAGCGTGATGTCAATCAACCGTCTCCTTACTATATGTCGTCCATCACTATTTTCTTCGGAATATTTCTTTGGTAATAGGTTAATCGTTGTTTCATTGCTAGGATTCCTTGTTGACAGTGAAGGCGGATGTTGATTAAATTCTGTATTACCATGTAGGAAATGATTTTCGTAATGCGCCGAGTATTTGCAAGATATACGAGGACTGACTTCAGATTATCATTTAAAATTTGAATTTTGTTCCTTATACTGCATTCAACAGATCTCTACGATGAATTTAAATTACCAAATGGCTGCCTTTGGCATTCTAATCCATAACATCTATAGCTGAAAACATTCTGCCTACATAAATGATGATAGGACTGACGTCATTCGAATTTAATAGAAAAGGGTAGAGGGAAGAGTTACACTTTTCGGTGATATCATTCTCAAGCTGTATAATCGCATATACATAATCAATTCTCTTAGCAACGAAATGAATATTTCTAAAGATTTGTCATTAGAATTGTAAATTTTAGATAACAGATTTCGTTGATGGGTTAGAAACTAGAATAAAATTAAATAAGCAAGTTGAGTGACGTAATCTAATCGACGGGGTTGAGTAGAGCTCAGCTAAAATTCAAACTGAACAAAAGTCAAGTTAACAACAGTGGTAATAAGGAGTAGAGATTTAACAAGGGGTGGGAGAAGAAAATATTATACAATTAAGAAACAAACAAGCAAGAAAAAGACGGTACAAAAATTCTGTGTTAAGATACGTCAGGTTCACTGTGGATTTAATGACTGATCTTTTTAGTGTTCCATCTTGTTTATGTCTTGTTAATTAGAAGTCCAGAAAAGGTATTTTTGTGTACTTGTACTCCCGTCTTCTCGCTTTCTACCTTCTGCTGCTAGAACTTTCAGGAATTTCCTCATTGACAGTAGGCAGGCTTATCTTACACCTGCCTTGCTTTCGAAGACTTTACGGAATTTTCTGCTTTGAATAACTTGATATGTGTCATTACCATATAGTTGTTGAATGAGGCTGATTAATGTGTGCGACACTGTACTTCATATTGTTGATTAATTTCCGCTCGTTTACCTTTTGTATGTTCATTTGAGGTCTTGTCGTTCCTGCTTCTTCTAGCACGTTGTTTGTTTTCATCTGGTTGTTTTCAAATTTGTGTGACATCATACATATATTGCCTATGATGTTTAAATTAGTCCAATGTAGTCGTATTTTGTGGCTTCTACTGTCTGGCACTACAACAATCAATAATATTATCAATGATAGTATGCAGCCTTGTTTACACCTGTCTTCATTTCAAAGATTTCACTGAATTTTCTGCTTTGAATAACTTGATATAGGGCATAATCAAAAAGTTGTTCACTGAGAATGATTTATGTATGCGACACTGTATTACTTAGTGTTACGGCAGTTTCCAACTCACTCTGTGATCAGCACTGTCAAAGGCTTTACAAAGTCAATGAAGCTGAATTTGACATTTGACTGCCATTCTATTCTCTGTTCGATGATGATGCATAGAGTCGCATCCTGATTTGCTTTCACTGGAGTCCAACTTCTTTTGGGCAGAGGTTTGCATCCAGAGAATCATTTAGTCATCTAGGATGACACGAATTAACATTTTGCTTGAGGTGGACAGCAGCATGACTCCGTGAAGGTTTTGCAGGGGCTAAATTAGCTGACAATACAGGCCTCCTTCGAGTAGGTACCCTCCCTTCTTTCCAAACCCTTTGTGATAGTGACGTGAGCATATATATTTAGGTCCCTGGGTCCGTGCTCAGTGCTTCTGAGTGAAATACATCTGGTCTCTCTGCTTTTCCGGCTGGCTTTCAATAACTTCATGGTACACAAGACTTCTGGCTTTGTTTGTATTCACTGGAGGTTCTGTGAATTTTGCTGGTATTTCTGGACGAGCTGCAAGTAGTGGTTGTTCTGTGAGTCCTAGAGTTCTCTTTGTTTCTCCAATCACTGCAGAAAATTCAAAGCACAGAAAAGATATATATTTGGCTTTATAATTAAATGCAATAAGATTGGGAATTATTTCACCGCATTATTATTCTTTTGAAATCATGTGAGAGACTCTCCAGAATTATTACCATATTAGTATGGGCGGAAAATAATTTAACCGTTCATTCAAAATGATAAGTTTCTAAATGAAAGATATTAAATTAAAATTAAACCATAATGTGGATATTTTCACAAACCAGAATTTGTTAGAGAATCATTGGAAGCCAGAGATTAGTAGACTGCTATTCTGTCTTAGTTTGAGACTCCTCAGAAATGCACACCCGCAACTCCGTCTGGGATCAAACGCAAAGGCTTTCAGGTTACAAGGTCCACTCGTTTACTGTTCAGGCCATCGCATCGCGACCCAAAGACCAACGGTTTCTAGCTTTGTCATTTCGTGATATTGTGTTACTTCCAACCAGTCCTATTGATCTGCACCCTCTTCATCTTGGCTCGGTGGACATTACCAGCCAAGTCATTTCGTTCCAATACCCCCTTTAAGCTGGAGATTAGCAATTCCTGGTTTTCAATGATTATCTGACTAATACTGGTTCGTCATGAAATCTGCATTGAAATTACTCTAAGTCTCTATAAAACTCATAACCGAAATACTCAGTGATTACTTCTCATATTTTTCTAGTAGTGGATGTATTTATTACTATTTCGTTTATGCTGGCAATAAAGTTTGACCGAAATATATGCGCCTTCTCGTGTTTAGAACAATATGGACTAACTGTACTTGAAAAGCTTCAACGATAACTAAGAATAATTCTTATCTTTCTCGGAAGCTTCATACAATTGGTTCCCTTGATAAATTTCGATAAAGAAAGGAAGACGAAATTTGCAGTATAAAATGATATCATTCTATTTCACAGGTTCTCATCATCTGCAGACTACCTGAAATTACAATGGTTATATAAATGATAATAACATACTCTAATGTTTGAGTGGTAGTAGAGAAGAGATAAAGTTGACGCATCCAAAAAAGAATGAAAGCAATACAATTTTTAGTTTAAGTTATCATCATCAATTTATACACTTTTAAAGTTGAAAAGAGGGGAGGGGTAAGACAGAAAACAGAAAAATTGATTAACAGAAACAGTGTTAGCTTGTAGGTTCACATAGCAACTCCAAAAAACAAAGGCGGTTACAGTTTATGAGATTAAGATTTGTTCAGTGAGTTGAGATCACTGAATTAGATGACTAATTATTGTAATCAAAATCAAAATTCAGTTACCAAGGGAGTGAGAGGTTAATCACACTCTCTTTCTGTATGCGTAAGTCTGGTTTAAATCGTTTGATTGCTATCGCTTCGGCAAATCGTAGTAGATTTACTGTCCTTTGTCTATTTAATATTTTGAAGGACTTAGAAATCTCTACGAGATGTCCGGTATCAACAATA